CTAGACCCCGGTGTGCCGGCACCGCAGGTGGAGGATTAGCCAAGTGAGCTGCAGCGCTGGCCAGCAAATGAATAATTTCATTGATGAGACGGACATGTAGTGTCATGTAAACCTGTGTTCCCACGTGCTGGCTCTCTCCCTAGACACAAATCTTCCATGTGGGTAGCTGAACACCAAGTACTTGAGCCCTCCCCTGCTGCCCCCCCGGGCTGCACACTCACAGGAAGCTGCACCTGCACATGGAGCCGGGACTTGGACCCAGGCCCTCTGACGTGGGGCGTGCCAGCCGCAGGCCAGACGCTGGTGCCTGACTTGCAGTTGTGGGACGCTGTGTGATCCTGACGAAGTTCTCCAGCGTCACACAGAGCGCTGCCTGGCAAGCGAGCACAAGTGCTCGGCGCCGGATCTGACAATTCGACGTGCACTGCTCACGTCGGGTCACCTCAGGGCTAACGTACGCATGTGGGCTTCAAACACCCGCCGGCAAGACCACCAGAGTGGCCAGTCTCTGCTCCACGTGCGGGTCACCTCTCCAGGCACGCCATGCTGGTCATGGCACTCCCACGAGGAAGAGGGAACCCAACCACGTGCGTGACTTTCCAGCCTCAGCGCGTCCCCCTGGCCAGTGCCAGCCACACAGCCAATCCTCGCCACAGTGTGAACGTCTTGGGACAGCTAGGCGTGAAGCGCTTGGAGCTATATTTGCAAATGGTCTCAGTGCTCCATCCTGGCCACAGTGACTTCCAGTGCCCTCCAAAAGCTCAAACATGACACCAGACCCAAACGCCAATACCTTATAGCTGGCAGGTTAGGCTGCTGCCTGCAGTGTCGGCATCCCGCGTGGGTGCCGGTTCAAGTCCCGACTGCTCCACTTCCAATCCAACTCCCCGATAATGCACCTGGGAAAGCAGTGGAGCAGGGCCCAAGTGGTCGGGCCCCTGCACCCGCGTGGGAGACCTGGAGGAAGCTCCTGGCTCCAGGCCCAGCCCTGGCTGTTGCAGCCATTTGGGGAGTGAACCAGCGGATGGACGACCTCTCTCCCTCTCCCTAACTCTGCCTTTCAAATAAATTGAATCTTTAAAAATGGAAACAAAATCGTCAAGGCCTTGTGATCCACCCAAGGCCTGGATGTAGATTTGCCCATGAACTCAGAGCCGGATTGGCTGCCCCCACAGACACACCAGCACTGACTGGGCACGTCCTCGGGGAAGCGTCCGAACAGAAAGCGCAGAGCAGGCACTGCCCACGGCGGCTGAAATCTCCACCGGGAGGGTCTCGGCAGGTGGGGAAGCTGCTGCTCTGGGCCGCTCTGCCGGACGCCGCGGGGCCCGGGTCTCGTGTTGGCCCGCTGCGCTGGGCCCTCTGCTGTGGGATCTCCCACAAGGCTGCGGTCGGCCCGCTGGCCAGGGCGGGGTCCCCTCCAGAGCCCACGCTGCAAGGATCCACTTCTCTGAGAACGTGCTGCATGTCCCGCTGGGAGCTGCACCAGGCACACTCGGCGACTTCCGAGACGCTGCGGCCCCTGGCTCTGGGTTAGCGGCTGCCGCTCGGGCGGGGTGTGTGTGTGGCTGCGGCCCCTGGCTCTGGGTTAGCGGCTGCCGCTCGGGGGGTGTGTGTGTGGCTGCGGCCCCTGGCTCCGGGTTAGCGGCTGCCGCTCGGGGTGTGTGGCTGCGGCCCCTGGCTCTGGGTTAGCGGCTGACGCTCGGGGTGTGTGTGGCTGCGGCCCCTGGCTCTGGGTTAGCGGCTGCCGCTCGGGGGGTGTGTGGCTGCGGCCCCTGGCTCTGGGTTAGCGGCTGCCGCTCGGGGGGTGTGTGGCTGCGGCCCCTGGCTCTGGGTTAGTCGCTGACGCTCGGGGGGTGTGTGGCTGCGGCCCCTGGCTCTGGGTTAGCGGCTGACGCTCGGGGGGTGAGTGGCTGCGGCCCCTGGCTCTGGGTTAGTCGCTGACGCTCGGGGGGTGTGTGGCTGCGGCCCCTGGCTCTGGGTTAGCGGCTGACGCTCGGGGGGTGAGTGGCTGCGGCCCCTGGCTCTGGGTTAGTCGCTGACGCTCGGGGGGTGTGTGGCTGCGGCCCCTGGCTCTGGGTTAGCGGCTGCCGCTCGGGGTGTGAGTGGCTGCGGCCCCTGGCTCTGGGTTAGCGGCTGCCGCTCGGGCGGTGTGTGTGTGGCTGCGGCCCCTGGCTCTGGGTTAGCGGCTGACGCTCGGGGGCTGTGTGGCTCCTGGGGCGCACGCTGCTGGTTCCTGGGAGGCATCTTATGAGCTGCTAGGAACCGCCTTGACTCTGTCACTGTTCATTCGGTCTCAGCCCGGCTTGAAGGGACAGACTGGAAGTTCTTTTTCCAGTCTAGCTCTTCTGTCGTCCCTCCGAATTCTACCTGCAACACGCTGGGGTTCTCCCCCGCAAGGGTTAGCACTCCAACTCTCCACCCAGCAGTTTCTCCTCAAGCCCACAGCCCCTTAGACACATCTGCTGTCCGCCGAGGACCACAGGCGCAGCAGGGCTGCCCCGTTCCCAGTCTCCTCCGAGTTCCCGTGCGTCCTCTCAGCCTCTTTAATGGTTCCTCACCGCTCCCCCAGTCTCCGCCCACAGCACCGTCCAACGTCACCTACGCTAGGCTTCCGTCTTGGCACCAGCCTCTGCAAAGGTTTTCCAGCACTTCACATGGCAATGCCTTCAAACAGTCTTTACGTGGCCCACGCGTAGGCTGGCGATTTAGGCTGCCTTGGCTGACGGGGCTGGGCTGCCCTGGGCAGTTCTGGTTTCCTTGGGGCTCAGACACCTGGGGCAGTTAGCTACCAAGACTGATCCTGCATGGCTTTGGTCAGGACAAGTTAAAAGCATTCTCCTGTTTCTAACACGTAGCTTTGTTTGTTTATCTGACAGCAGAGTGAGAGAGGAAGACAGGGCTCTTCCATGTACACAACAGCTGGTGCTGGGCCAGGCTGACGCCAGGAGCTCGGCCCTCCATCCAGGTCTCCCAGATGGGTGGAGGGACCCACAGACGTCTGCCATCACACGCCACCTTCCCAGGCTCATGGCAGGAAGTGGATCAGAGTGCCGAGTAGCTGGGGCTGGAACTGGCACTCCAATATGGGATGTGGGTGTCCACACTGTAGCTCAACCTGCTGGGCCACAGCACCAGCCCAGGGGCAAGCTTGTCACGACCAGGTCAGAGAGCAAAGCACAAGCACCCAGCTGCACACACGCACTTCATTCATTTATTTTTTATTTACTTGAAAGGCAGTTACAGAGAGACATCCACCCGCTGGTTCACTCCCCAGATGGCCACGACAGCCAGGGCTGGACCAGACCAGAGCCAGAGCCGGCAGCTTCTTCCAGGTCTCCCACACCGGTGCAGGGGCCCAAGCCCGTGGGCCATCTTCCGCGTCCCCAGACCATTAGCCGGGAGCTGGATTGGCAGTGGAGCAGCCGGGACTCGAAGGGGCACCCATATGGGCTGCACACTTCACTTTCCAGTCTTTCTCACTGTTTCAGTCTCTCGCACACAAGACAGCACGTGCTGGCTGTGAGCCACTCTGAATCAAGTCCTCAGATGTGCTGACCTAGACGTCTGCATTTACTACACTCACTGGGTCTGACGCTCCATTCACCGTGCGATTTCCATTACGGGATGGATTGCCTTCACTGTCGTGTGAGCCTTGGGAGACATGTTCATTTTTGAATGTTTATTTATTTTCCTCTACTTCAAAGGCAGAGAGAGAGAGAGAGAGAGAGAGAGAGAGAGAGAGAGAGAGAGAGAGAAATCGCCCATCTGCTTGTTAGTTCCCCAAATGCCCGCAACAGCCAGGGCTGGGCCAGGCGGAAGCCAGGAGCCAGAACTCCATCTGGGTCTCTACGTGGATGGCGGGGACCAAGCACTTGGGCCGCCTCCTGCTGTCTCCCAGAAGGCACCTGCCAGAAGCTAGATAAGAAACGGAGGGGCTGGGGCTGAACCCAGCTACTCGGCTACGGGATGAGGTCGCCCAAGTGGTGGCGTCACCTGCTCCGCCTGCCCCTGCACTTCTATCCCAGTGGTAACGCTATCTGTTCTTTCCTATTGCCTTTGAGAGTTCACCTTTTATGCTGTTAATTCTCCTTTTTTTCAAAAACAAAAAAGATGTATTTATTTATTTGAAAGTCAGAGTTAGAGAGAGAATCTTCCATCCGCTGGTTCACTTTCCAGATGGCCACAACAGCCAGGCCTGGGCCAGGCGGAAGCCAGGAGCCAGGGGCTTCATCTGGGCCTCCCACAAGGGTCTCAGGAACCCAAGCACTTGGGCCACCTCCTGCTGCTTTCCCAGGTGCACTAGCAGGGAGCTAGGTTGGAAGTGGAGCAGCCGGGTCTTGAACCGGCAGCCACACGGGATGTCAGCAGCTCGAGTGATGGCTCCACCCACCATGCCGCAGCGCCGGCCCCTGGGGAGTTTGATATTAACTCTGCGGAGCCCCAGCTTCGTCTGCCCTGTCCCTTCTGGCCTCCGCGTCTCAGCTCTGTCCCCACATCCTCGGCAGCGTGGGGAACTGCAGCCGCGTCCACGTTCAGCCGGACGTGCGCAGCCTCCCATCTGGGATTTTACCTTTCCCAGGCTTGGTCAGCTCTCGTCTCACGTACGCTTATTGCTGTTTCATTTTGATTCTGAGTCTGCATTTCTGATCTGCGGTGTTCTTCACAACCACAATCCTTTTTCTTTTTAAAGACTTTCTTTTAAGATTTATTTACTTATTGGAAAGGTGGAGTTACAGAGGCAGAGAGAGCGAGAGAGAGAGGTCTTCCATCCCTGGTTCTCTCCCCAGATGCCACAATGGCCAGAGCTGGGCTGATCCGAAGCCAGGAGCCAGGAGCCTCCTCCGGGTCTCCCACGTGGGTGCAGGGCCCAAGGACTTGGGCCATCTACTGTTTCCCGGGCCACAGCAGAGAGCGGGATCAGAAGTGGAGCAGCCGGGACTCAAACCGGCACACATATGGGAAGCCGGCACAAGTGAAACTTCACCTGCTACGCAGGGTGCCGGCCCCTTTGAAGATTTTATTTATTCATTTGAAAGGCACAGTTACAGGGAGGGGGGAGACACAGAAATATCTCCCATCCACGGGTTCACGGCCCAAAAGGCCACAATGGCCACACCAAAGCCCGGAGCCAGGAACTCCATCTGAGTCTCCCACCTGGGAGAAAGAGCCAAGCGCATGGGCCATCTTCTACTGCTTTCCCAGGTGCTTTAGCAGGAGCGGGATTGGAGGTGGAGCAGCCGGGACTCGAACCGGTGCCCACAGGGGAGGCTGGCACTGCTGGTGGAGGCTCACCCGCGGCGTCACAACCGCTGGTCCCTGTTTCGTAAAGCTCGTGTGGAATGCTGTTAGTCCTTCCTGTTGGTCAGTGACGTCAAACGTCCCCACCAAGGAGCGCCTGTGGTGTAGGGGTGCTGTCCTCTGTGTGGTGTAGGGGCGCTGTCTCCCTCTGTGTGGTTGGTAGGGGCGCTGTCTCCCTCTGTGTGGTGTAGGGGCGCTGTCTCCCTCTGTGTGGTGTAGGGGTGCTGTCTCCCTCTGTGTGGTGTAGGGGTGCTGTCTCCCTCTGTGTGGTAGGGGCGCTGTCTCCCTCTGTGTGGTAGGGGTGCTGTCTCCCTCCGTGTGGTTGGTAGGGGCGCTGTCTCCCTCTGTGTGGTAGGGGCGCTGTCCTCTGTGTGGTGTAGGGGCACTGTCTCCCTCTGTGTGGTTGGTAGGGGTGCTGTCTCCCTCCGTGTGGTTGGTAGGGGTGCTGTCTCCCTCTGTGTAGTGTAGGGGCGCTGTCCTCTGTGTGGTGGCAGGGGGCGCTGTCTCCCTCTGTGTGGTAGGGGCACTGTCTCCCTCTGTGTGGTAGGGGTGCTGTCCTCTGTGGTAGGGGCGCTGTCCTCTGTGTGGTGGCAGGGGGCGCTGTCCTCTGTGTGGTGTAGGGGCGCTGTCCTCTGTGTGGTGGCAGGGGGCGCTGTCTCCCTGTGTGGTAGGGGCGCTGTCTCCCTCTGTGTGTAGGGGTGCTGTCCTCTGTGTGGTAGGGGTGCTGTCCTCTGTGTGGTGGCAGGGGGCGCTGTCCTCTGTGTTGTAGGGGTGCTGTCTCCCTCTGTGGTGTAGGGGTGCTGTCCTCTGTGTGGTAGGGGCGCTGTCTCCCTCTGTGTGGTGTAGGGGTGCCGTCCTCTGTGTGGTAGGGGCGCTGTCTCCCTCTGGGTGGTGTAGGGGTGCCGTCCTCTGTGTGTTGTAGGGGCGCTGTCTCCCTCTGGGTGGTGTAGGGGCGCTGTCCTCTGTGTGGTGTAGGGGCGCTGTCTCCCTCTGGGTGGTGTAGGGGCGCTGTCCTCTGTGTGGTGTAGGGGCACTGTCTCCTTCTGTGTGTTGCAGGGGTGCTGTCTCCCTCTGGGTGGTGTAGGGGTGCCGTCCTCTGTGTGTTGCAGGGGCGCTGTCTCCGTCTGTGCTCCTCTCTGTTCCGTTGAGCATCTCACTTTCTCTTCCCATCATGCACCAGGCTCCGCACCATGAGAAGTGACGGCCCTGGTCCCACGCACAGCACGGGGCCGCTGCGGGTGAGACCCCGTGAGCTGGGCTTCCCTGGGGTCCCAAGTCCCGCGAGGGCCATGGCAGAAGACCCACGTGGACGTCCGGCGGGAGTCAGATCACAGAGCGGTGTGAAGTGACACGGGGCGGGGCGGGGGCGGGGCGGGGACTCAGCATCCCTACGGACGCAGGAAGAAGGTTTCTCAGCGGGGTACAGACGCCCAGGCCAAGCAAGAACTGCCGCACTGGGGCCATGCTCCCGAGAAAGGGCACGAGGGACGGGAAGGAGCGGCCCCAGGTGGTCCCGGGAACACACTGTCAGGCGGCCTGGGGCGGAGCAGGTGTCACACAGGTGGGTGTGGGGACGAGGTGAGGGCCAGAGAAGGGGTCAGGTGGGGTCAGCAGGGGAGTAGGGATCGGGGCTCCTCCCTCAGCTCTAACTCCGCCTCTGGAGGCACCAAAGTCAGGGGTCCACCCCAGACTCTGTTCTTCTCCCTGGGACAAGAGAGGGAAGAGGGGCGCTCTCCTGGCTCGGGCACAGGCAGCTGTCCATCTCCAGGACCACACGCCGAGGCCAGCTCCGGGCGGCCCTGGACAGGGCTGCGGCAGGCCCAGGAACCCGCAGGGGCAAGCGGAGCCACACAGCACGGGGACGAGGGGCCCTGCCACCGGAGCCACACCTCCAAGTGGGATCCTGGGTCCAAGCAGACGGGGCCGGGGTGCCTGGGCCCGGGGAGCTCACTCTGCAGACCGTGCCTGGGACAAGATCCTCTGCTCCAGGCTGGCGTACCGGGGCAGGAGAGCCTCGTAGACCTGGAGAGGCAGAAAGAGTCACTTAGACCGCAGGGCTGAGCTGGTCCATCGCCTGCGACTTGCCATTTAAAGCCAGATGTCCCGTGCACCTGCCTTCCGACTTTAAAGGAGGTGGTGGCTGTCCAGCCTGCAGCGTAAGATTTTGTGGGCCTGGACAGCGGAGCAGACACTGAGTTTTGCTGTCAAACCCACACCCGTGTAAAACGCCCTGGTGAGCGTACGCAGAAGTGGCCGCGTCACGGCACACACGGCTAAGGCTCACTTACAACTGGAAATGGGCTTCCTCCTGCGGCTCCGGGGGCCGAGCTGGGGACCCGTGGTTCTGCTTCCGAGATGCTCTGCTGAGGACGCAGACCTCGGTGCCAGCCCTGGAGGGCACGCCGACCCGCAGACTAGCTGCCGCCCCTCTTCACTGGGGACTGCAGTCTGTCCGGCAGTCACGCAGCTCCCCAGGGAGGGTCTACCTCCCCCTCGGCCCCGCCAGGTTGCAGCGCAGGTACCAGGGGCTGGGAGCCAGCGGCACAGGCGCGAGAGCCAGCTCGGCTTCCACACCTGGCGCCACGGGAGCGCGTGGTGAAGAGCCGGGCCGCCCACCAGGTCCTCACGGCTTTCCCGGGCCAGAGGCAGCGTCCCAGGCAGAGGCCACTCTCACCTGAGCCATGTGCCCCTAGCACTGCTGACAGGACATGCGCACTAGGTCTGCGGCAAAACCCCGCTGGGAAACTAACCACAGGTCAAACTCTGGGAACAGGAAAGGGGCGCTTTAACCCTGTACCCACCGGGTTACTGGCCGAAAGACTAGAACCACCACTCTGGGAAACCACGGCTCATCAGCCAGACAATCTTATAGTCATTAAGAGTAACAGGCATAGCTGGCACTGTGGCATAGCAGGTAAAGCCACTGCCTGCAGTGCCGCCATCCCATATGGGCGCTGGTTCAAATCCCGGCTGCTCCACTTCTGATGCAACTCCCCGCTATGGCCTGGGAAAGCAGCAGAAGACGGCCCAAGTGCTTGGGCCCTGCACCCACGTGGGAGACCAGGAAGAAGCTCCTGGCTCCTGGCTTCAGATCAACCCAGCTCCAGCCATTGAGGCCATTTGGGGAGTGAACCAGAGGATGGAAAACTCTCTGCCTCTCTGTAACTCTGCCTTTCAAATAAATAAATAAATTGAAAGAAAGAAAGAAAGAAAAGAAAGAAAAGAAAGGAAGAAAGAAAGAAAGAGAGAAAGAAAACAAACACCCAGGCCAAAAACCAACCAGGGAAGAAGGACCAGGAAAGAGGAGACTCTCGCAGTGCCCGCCACTTGTCTCCGGTGTTAGCCTGCGGCTGTAAGTGCTCCTGAGACCCACGGCGCCCCTGGAGGATGGGAGAGCCCCGACTGACAGGCAGACGCCGCCGCACACCGGGGGCCCGCAAGAAGGCCCTCTAGGGACTGCGTGCACCCCGCGCCTTCCCCACTGGCCCACTCAGCCAGCGCTTTCCTGCCGGATTCTGCAACGAGGGCCCACTCCTGGGGGCAGTCCTGCTGTCCAGGATGGCCCCACAGGCCGCCCGGGCCAGAGGGAAGGGGCCTGCCTGTGAGGGCTGAGGGGACGACTGCAGCCCTGACAGAGGCCCACAGGGAGGCCTCATGGCTGCCTGAGCCTGGACTGAACACTACGCAATCCAGACACGGGCCGGGGGTCTGGTCTGTGTCCACCTGAGCGGGAGAGGACACACCACCACCGCCCGAGTTCTCCGGGGCCCTTCTGCTGGGGCTGCAGCAGGAAGGCAGGAGGCGGGGCCCGGCCTGCAGGTGGGTCACAGACGGCCACAGCCGGAAACCCTGCAGCCGACCCGTGGGGCCCTGCACTGGCCGTGACCTCAGCCACGGGGGAGGCAGAAGACAGTGGGACACACTCTGCGCAGAGCACCCGCCACGGGGGAGGCAGGAAGACAGTGGGACACACTCTGCGCAGAGCACCCGCCACGGGGGAGGCAGGAAGACAGTGGGACACACTCTGCACAGAGCACCCGCCACGGCGGGGAGGGGGGAGACGGTGGGACACACTGCGCAGAGCACCTGCCATGGGGGAGGCAGGAAGACAGTGGGACACACTCCGTGCAGAGCACCCGCCACGGGGGAGGCAGGAGCCACAGTTAGCTGCCCGAGGCTTCCCCCACAACCTCAGCTAGGCTGCCTCCTCCTGGAGAGGGAGAAGGAGCCAGAGCCCACCCCGGCCTTTTAGACAACCAGTCTGCCCGGCTGGGGTTTGAGGGCGGCTCGGGGAACCAGACCTGCTGCTTCTCTCCCTAGCGAGGAAGCAGTGTGAGAGCAGGACCCCCCACACACCCACGCCTCCCCCTGGCCCTGCTTTTGAACCAGCGGCGTGAGGACGTGATTCCCAGAGGGGCCCGGCTCTCCCATACCCCAGAGCACAGCCGGAGCGGCACTATCTGACCAGAGCCGTAGCCACGCGCGCCTCTGCGTACAGAGCGCACGCCGAGGGGCTGGCGCCTCTGCCGATGCCGGCACCCCCTCCGACTGCTGTCTGAGTCCCGGCTGCTGCACCTCCAACCCAGCTCCCTGGGCCATCACAAACAAGTGAGTCTCAAAGAAAGAGAGAACACCAAGAACTCTAAGCAGAACGTGCACATCACATTTCAGAGCTTCACACAGGAAAGAGGAGAAATATCGCATTAGTAGCTTTTCTAACTAGTTACATTTCAAAATGACAATATTTTGGATAGAATGGAATTAATGAAACAGAAATGTTATCTGTTTTTTTTTTTTTTTTTTTTTTTGACAGGCAGAGTGGACAGTGAGAAAGAGATACAGAAAGGTCTTCCTTTGCCGTTGGTTCACCCCTCAATGGCCGCCGTGGCCGGTGCGCTGCGGCCAGCGCACCGCGCTGATCCAATGGCAGGAGCCAGGTGCTTCTCCTGGTCTCCCATGGGGTGCAGGGCCCAAGGACTTGGGCCATCCTCCACTGCACTCCCGGGCCACAGCAGAGAGCTGGCCTGGAAGAGGGGCAACCGGGACAGAATCCGGTGTGCCGGCACTGCAAGGCGAAGGATCAGCCCAGTGAGCCGTGGCGCCGGCCTGTTTATTTTAATTTACTCTTTTTCTGTTTAGAAATGAGACCACCAGGGCCGGCGTCATGCCGCAGTGAGCTCAGCCGTTGCCTGCAGCGCTGGCATCCCAGAGGGCGCCAGTTTACTCCCGGCTGCTCCACTTCCAGTCCAGCTCCCAGCTGATGAGCCTGGGAAAGCAGCGGGAGACGGCCCGAGGCCTCTGTCCTGGCCCAGGGCAGCTGCTGCAGCCATTTGAGCAGTAAAGCAGAGAGTGGAAGACCTCTCTCTTCCTTTTACTCTGCCATTCAAATAAACAAGCAAATACATAAATATTAATTATATATATTAAAGTAGCCAGGACAGGAGTTGTTCCCTCTACACAAAGAAAGAGAGGCTTTGGTGTGCTGCTCAGGTCACAGGGTGAGGGAGGGCAGGGGTCAGATGCAGACGCCAAGCACCCTTTACCTCAATGCAGTCCTTGCGCTGCACCGAGTGGCCCCTCAAACACAGGGACGCACACAGAACGACGGAAGCTCCGTCACATCGCGGGGCTGGCTTGCCGTCGCTGGGCAAGCATGAGCGCGCCTGAGAGCGGCTGGGAGCCCCTTCTCCCGGCACCCCGCCGCGTGACGGCCGCTGCTTCAGGCCGCCTGTGCCAGGGCGTCTGTAAGGCCGAAGCACAGGGCTGCTTCCCAGGCGGCGAGAACTGTGCTAGGGACACACGGGAGCGCGCAGAGTGCGCTCAGCACTAGGGACAGACGGGAGGGCGCAGAGTGCGCTCAGCGCTAAGGACACACGGGAGCGCGCAGAGTGCGCGCAGCGCTAAGGGCAGCACTGGAGCGGGCAGAGTGCGCGCAGCGCTAAGGGCAGATGGGAGCGCGCAGAGTGCGCGCAGCGCTAAGGACACACGGGAGCGCGCAGAGTGCGCTCAGCGCTAAGGACAGACGGGAGCGCGCAGAGTGCGCTCAGCGATAAGGGCAGACGGGAGCGGGCAGAGTGCGCGCAGCGCTGAGGACACACGGGAGCGCGCAGAGTGCGCGCAGCGCTGAGGACACACGGGAGCGCGCAGAGTGCGCGCAGCGCTGAGGGCAGACGGGAGCGGGCAGAGTGCGCTCAGCGCTAAGGACAGACGGGAGCGCGCAGAGTGTGCGCAGCGCTGAGGGCAGACGGGAGCGGGCAGTGTGCTCAGCGCTAAGGGACAGATGGGAGTGCGCAGAGTGTGCGCAGCGCTAAGGGCAGACGGGAGCGCGCAGAGTCCGCGCAGCGCTGCTGCCGGTCCTTATAAGGCTGGGAGTTCCTGGAGCTCGGCCCCCGTGGCTGTCACACAGATGCCGCGCGCCCAGGGACTGCCTGGCACCACCGTGCGTCGCTCTGGGGGAAGCTGAGGCTGTCTGACGCTTCTGTCTGACCCGCGAGTCTCGTGTCTTCTGCCTATATCCCCGAAGCCACGCAGGCTCACTGGTTAGCCCGCGACTTGGGGAAATCTCCAGCCCTTCGCGGTCGGTTCCCGGCAAGGCACAGCCGCCGCCCCGCGCCGGGACTGCGAGAACCTTCTGCAGGCAGGCATGACGGGTGCGCCTCCCGGACTCTGCATCAGGACTAAGGTGGGAGTGCTGCGGCACACGGGCTCAGCCCACGGCCGGGGGGTGGGGGGGGAGGCGGCTCCTGTTGCAGAGGCTGCCTCGCCCCACCCACGGCGGCTGGCGAGCACTCCTCCCCCCGCCCACTGGCCGAGGTCACGCTGGAGCGCGCCGTCTGCTCCTCTCTGCCCAGTCCTGCACGCAGCACCCCACGTCCTCACCAACCCCCCGGACCCTGGAGAACCCCCTACGACACGTGGGGTCTGCCTCCTCAGCGGTTTCCTGGGAGGGAGGCTGCACAGCTCCCGTGGGTCCAGCCCCGGGAGGTGAGCGCTAGAAACGCAGCGCCTCAGGCTTCAGTGCCCGAGTCTCGGGCCGTGAGGCCGCACCTGCTGCCCACGGCTCCAGGCTGCCACGTCAGCAGCGTCGGAGAGCGACAGCCCGCCGGCCGCTCTGCCTGGATCTTCTAAAAAGCAGGAGGTCCCCTTTAGTTGGGCACATGGAGTTCAATGTGGATAACAAAGAAAAACTGCCCTTCTTGGGGAAAAAAGATACCTGGATTGGCTTCCCACAGCGCAACGGCTGTGACGTGGGCCGGTGTCTCACCTGAGAGGCCCCGGGGTGCGGGGAGGCAGCCAGTCTGGGACTCGGGGCCAGCTTCACAACGTCTGCAAAGGCCACGTCTGTGCCGCCTGCAAGGCCTAGGGGGCAAAGGTCACTTCGTATCAGCACACGCAACCCTAAATGGCACCGATGGCCCCGCTGGGGCAGAGAAATGGTCTTTCCTATTTAAAGGCCATTGTCTGCTGCTTTCCCAGAAGCCGAGCAGCCAGGACTGGAGCCAGCGCTCTGCTACGGGATGCCGGCACTGCAGGCCGTGACTTAACCCCTTGTACCTCAACGCTGGCCCAGATAAAATGTTCTTCAGCCGAATTCTCTCCAGTACTCACCTGGGTTGTGTATTCCAACAAAACCAGCTACAGAGACAGTGAGGGACAGAGAGAGACAGACAGACAGACAGACAGAGACAGACAGAGAGAGAGAGAGATCTTCTATCCACTGGTTCACTCCCCAGAGCCACAACGGCCCGGCCTGAGGCAGGTCAAAGCCAGGGGCCAGGAGCTTGGTCCAGGTCTCCCATATGGGTGTCAGAGGTCCAGACACTTGGGCCATCCTTCACTGCTTTTTCGAGGCCACTGGCAGGGAGCTCCATCAGAAGTGGAGCAGCCAGGACACAAACTGGTACCCATACAGGATGCCAGTATTCCAGGTGGTAGCTTAACTCGCTACACCATAGCACTAGCCCCTTCTCTTCCAATCCAGCTAATGTGCCTGGGAAGGGAACAGAAGACAGAGTGTGTGGGCCCCGAACCCAAGTGGAGGTCCAGACAGAGTTCTGGGCTCCTGGCTTCAGCCTGGCTCCGTCTGTGCCGCTGCAGCTGTTTGGGGAATGAGCCACTGGATGGAAGATTTCTATCTCAGTGTCTCTCTCTCTCTCTCTCTCTATCACTCTGCCTTTCAAATAAATAAATCTAAACAAGAAAGAAAAGAAAAACCTCAGAGGTTAGCACCAATAAGAGCCGATATGTTATAAAATGTAATTTAATGTGGAAATGAATCCCCAAGCAATCTTGATACGGGAGGTGGTGTGAGGTAGGGAGAGGTGGGTGGGTGGGGGTGGGGGAGTAAGAGGTTAATTGTTAAGAGAAAGGTTTGTTCCCTGATTAATTCTCAATATTAACAGAAACACAGTTCAATAGCTAAGCTGAAGGGTTAAGGGCGAGCGGGTAAAGGACAGAACTACGAGAGACAAAGCACACGCCCTGGAGGCACACGTGTGCCCCAGGCACAGCTGAAGGGGTCCTGGGCGGGCAGAGGCCAGGGTAGGCTGACCACCGCAGCAGGACATCCCGAGGCCCGCACTCCCTCCACAGCTCGCCCAGGCCAGGCAGTGTCGATTCTGCATCTCAGGGTGCGCCGGCGCAGGGGGCCTCCACGGAGCTGTCCAGGGTCCTGGCCTGCGCGGGTGGGAAGCCGTGAGCTTGGTCCCAGCCTCCTGCTCTTGCTGGGAGGACAGCGCTGGGCTTGCTGCAGCTCTCCTGCCCGGGCCGGCCAGAACCAGCCCCCGTAGACCACGCAGCCACGCCTGCCACCTGCCACGTGTGGCCTTCCTGCCGGCAGCACGCCCCAGTGCTGACTGAGTTAGCCCTAATCAGACCTCGCTCAGCTATGGCCCAGGTTCCCTCTCCCCACTGCAAGCAGAGAACAGAGGAACAGAGGCCGTGTGTCGGTTCTGGCTCGGTGGGAGGGAGCCCAATGAAGCTACAGCCCCCAGGACTCCCACCCCGAGCCCAGCCACCCCCAGACCCAGGTGCCCCTCACCCGTCGACCTACCATGAAAAGCTCGGTACGCAGAGCCCACACAGGCCGAGTTGGCAGTGTCCGCGACGTAGACGGGGGCACCGAACACGTCCGCGAGCACCTGGGAAGCACAGGGAGGCTCTCAAACGCCGGGCAGTTCTTAGAGGGCAGGTGAGCAGGCGGGCAGGTGGGCAGGTGGGCACGTGGGCAGGCGGGCGTGTGTGTGCCAGGCTCTCCGCATCCCCGGCGTCCCTCCACCGCGGCCTCTGCAGAAGCAGACCTGCTCATGCAGCCCGGCGACCCAGGGATGATGGTGCCCTCTTGCAGGCTGACGCGGAAACTAAACTGCATGGATTTAGACCGGAGGACCTCACTTGGAAAAGACCCTGGGCGTCCTGGCTGACCGCTGGTGTCACTGCAGGTCCTACTGATTGCCCGCCCGGGTCGTTGGCACCAGCCCACTGTGCACCCCACAGTGGCACTGTGGAGTCGTGGCTGCCGCTGGCTCCCAGCACTCCCTCCGCGAGAAGACCAAGCTTGGCCAAGGGGGCCACCTTTCCCCCTCCCCGGGCTCACTGGCCCCCCTGACTCAAGGCAGAAGCTCCTCCGTGGTGCAGTCCCTCCAACAGAGCACGGAACGGAGCTGACCAGACTCCAGGCAGGACCCGGCCCTTATGCACCCTTCTCCCCTGCCCACCCCGTCCTCCCTGCCCTCCTCCGAGAGCACGCTCTCAACAAAGCACTTCCAGGAGAGCCCCTGCATGCTTCTGCCTGAGACTCTTAGCTGAGACGGGACCACCACAAGCCAGCAGCCGACCCGTGACTCACTAAGCCTAAGGCAGCCTCCGGCCACGGCCACACATGCACAGCGCTCCCCTCCCACGAGAGGAGCCGATGCCCTGGGATGTGACAGCCCGAGTGGCCGACGTCTGCAGGTGGCTCCCACCTCCATGAGGGCACTTCGAAAGTTTAGAAAACGGGATTAGTACAGTTACTTTGCTGCAAACAATTTTTAAATCCACGCATGTGGATGTTCAGATAGTGCATGAGGGGGCCGGTGCTGTGGTGCTGCAGGTTAAGCCGCGGCCTGGCACACAGCAGCCCACGCTAGAGTGCTGGATCCGGCACCAGCTGCTCCACTTCCATCCAGCTCCCTGCTAATGCTCCTGCGAAAGCAGCACAAGATGGCCCAAGTGCTTGGGAGACCCAGGTAGCGTTCCTGGCTCCTGGCTTCAGCCTGGCCCAGCCCTGGCCACTATGGCCATTTGGGAGAGTGAACCAACAGACAGAAAATCCTTATCTCTGTCTCTCCCTTTTTCTGTCATTCTGCCCTCCAGATAAAAAAGCAGTTCATGAGAAATGTGTGTTACAAAAAACGCTATGCACTGGGGCTGGCGCTGTGGCACAGTGGGTTAAGCCGCCACCTGCAGCGCTGGCATCCCGCACGGGCACTGGTTCCAGCCCTGGCTGCTCCACGTCCAATGCAGCTCCCTGCTAACGCGCCTTGGGAAACAGCGGAGGTCGGCCCAAGTGGTTGGGCCCCTGCACCCTGTGGGAGACCCGGAAGCTCCTGGCTCCTGGCTCCAGCCTGGCCCAGCCCTGGACATTGCAGCCACTTGGGGAGTGACCAGCAGAGGGAAGACCTCTCTCTCTCTCTCTCTGTCTCTCCTTCTCTCTCTTTCTCTGTAATTCTGCCTTTCAAATCAATAAATAAATCTGAAAAAATTATGCATGGATTCCAATTGTTTGGACCAAACCAAACATCCTTTAATTCTTGTTCCATAGACTTTGGAAGTGCCCTTCTATTTCTGGCATTATTGAAGGAACAAAAATCCAGAGAAGTCCAGCACCTGTGTTTTAGGAACAACTGGAGGAGCAGAGACGGCTACCTGGGCGGAGCAGAGCCAGAGGAAGACCAGAGCTCGGGCCTCGGACGGCAGGTTTGCCGTGCGGCAGGCAGGCAGCCTCCACCTGACACCAGAGGCCAGAGGGCTGTCCAAGCAGAACCCCGTGGACGTGGAGGGAACAGAAGAACCCCCGTGGACGTGGGGGGGACAGCAGAACCCCATGGACGTGGAGGGAACAGCAGAACCCCGTGGACGTGGGGGGAACAGAAGAACCCCGTGGACGTGGGGGGACAGCAGAACCCCGTGGATGTGGGGGGACAGCAGAACCCCGTGGACGTGGGGGACAGCAGAACCCCGTGGACGTGGTGAGAACAGAACCCCGTGGACGTGGGGGAATAGCAGAACCCCGTGGACGTGGGGGAACAGCAGAACCCGTGGATGTGGGGGGGACAGCAGAACCCCGTGGATGTGGGGGAACAACAGAACCCCGTGGACGTGGGGGGACAGCAGAACCCGTGGACGTGGGGGGACAGCAGAACCCGTGGACGTGGGGGGACAGCAGAACCCGTGGATGTGGGGGGAACAGCAGAACCCGTGGACGTGGGGGGACAGCAGAACCCGTGGACGTGGGGGGACAGCAGAACCCGTGGACGTGGGGGGACAGCAGAACCCGTGGACGTGGGGGAACAGCAGAACCCCGTGGACGTGGGGGAACAGCAGAACCCCGTGGATGTGGGGGGAACAGCAGAACCCCGTGGATGTGGGGGAACAGCAGAACCCCATGGACGTGGGGAACAGCAGAACCCTGTGGATGTGGGGGGACAGCAGAACCCCGTGGACGTGGGGGGAACAGCAGAACCCCGTGGATGTGGGGGAACAGCAGAACCCCGTGGACGTGGGGGAACAGCAGAACCCCGTGGACGTGGGGGGACAGCAGAACCCCGTGGACGTGGGGGGACAGCAGAACCCCGTGGATGTGGGGGGAACAGCAGAACCCCGTGGACGTGGGGGAACAGCAGAACCCGTGGACGTGGGGGGACAGCAGAACCCGTGGACGTGGGGGGACAGCAGAACCCGTGGACGTGGGGGAACAGCAGAACCCCGTGGACGTGGGGGGACAGCAGAACCCCGTGGACGTGGGGGGAACAGCAGAACCCCGTGGACGTGGGGGGACAGCAGAACCCCGTGGACGTGGGGGGGACAGCAGAACCCCGTGGACGTGGGGAGACAGCAGAACCCCGTGGACATGGCGGGGACAGCAGAACCCCGTGGACGTGGGGGGAACAGCAGAACCCCGTGGACGTAGGGGGAACAGCAGAACCCCGTGGATGTGGGTGGGGGGGACAGCAGAACCCCGTGGACGTGGGGGGACAGCAGAACCCTGTGGACGTGGGGGAAGAGCAGAACCCCGTGGATGTGGGTGGGGGGGACAGCAGAACCCCGTGGACGTGGGGGGACAGCAGAACCCCGTGGACGTGGGGAACAGCAGAACCCGTGGACGTGGGGGGAACAGAAGAACCCCGTGGATGTGGGGGAACAACAGAACCCCGTGGACGTGGGGGGAACAGCAGAACCCCGTGGACGTGGGGGGACAGCAGAACCCCGTGGACGTGGCACAGAACCTGCTCACAGTGTGGGAAGCGTGGGACAGTGGCGACCCCTCCCGCTGAGCCTCTGCCTCTCAGACGGGGCTATCACACCTACCTGGAGCAGGTCTCTGTTGTGGGAGGCCCCGCCTGTGGCCAAAATCTTTGTCTTGGGCACTGCAAGGGAAGCGAGAAAGATGAGTGGATGTGGCCATTCCCCAAGGCAGACACAGGGCTATTTCCCAGCATTCCTCGGTCTCAGGGCCACCACCCCCTCAGACCACGCAGCCACGCCTGTCACCTGTCATATGTGGGCTGCTTCTGAGCACCGCCCACCCACGGGGGCCATCGCCCCCTCAGACCACGCAGCCACGCCTGTCACCTGTCATATGTGGGCTGCTTCTGAGCACCGCCCACCCACAGGGGCCATCGCCCCCTCAGACCACACAGCCACGCCTGTCACCTGTCATATGTGGGCTGCTTCTGGGCACTGCCCACCATCGCCCCCTCAGACCACGCAGCCACGCCTGTCACCTGTCACGTGTGGTCTACTTCTGGGCACTGCCCACCATCGCCCCCTCAGACCACGCAGCCACGCCTGTCACCTGTCACGTGTGGTCTGCTTCTGAGGCACTGCCCACCATCGCCCCCTCAGACCACGCAGCCACGCCTGTCACCTGTCACGTGTGGTCTGCTTCTGAGGCACTGCCCACCCACAGGGGCCATCACCCCCTCAGACCACGCAGCCACGCCTGTCACCTGTCACGTGTCGTCTGCTTCTGGACACTGCCCACCCACCAGACTGCCTCACTGTTTGTTGTCATTCTTTATATATATATATATATATATATATATAAAATTTATTTTACAGGCAGAGTTAGTGAGAGAGACAGAGAGAAAGATCTTCCCTCCGTTGGCTCACTCCCCAAATGGCCACTACAGACGGCGCTGTGCCGATCCAAAGCCAGGAGCCAGGTGCTTCCTCCTGGTCTCCCATGCAGGTGCAGGGGCCAAGCACTTGGGCCATCTTCCATTGCCCTCCCGGGCCAGAGCAGAGAGCTGGACTAGAAGAGGAGCAACCGGGACAGGATCCGGCGCCCCGACCGGGACTAGAACCCGGGATGCCAGCGCCATAGGTGGAGGATTAACCAAGTGAGCCACGGCGCCAGCCCTTGTTATTCTTAACAAAAACCCAACAACCCAGGAATAGAGGGGACTCCCTTAAATTATCAAGGACATATGTTCAAAATGCACTGCAAATCTCATGTTTTGTCAAGTTAGAAACACAACTACTGGTCGCAGGTAACGTGGTAGGTTAAGGCGCCATGCCGTATCAGCGTGCCGGCTCAAGTCCTGGCTACTTCACTTCAATTCAGCTTCCTGCTCACGTGCACCCTGGGTGGCAGCCAATGACAGTTCAAATGCTTGGGCCCCTGTCCCCTGTGCGGGAGGCGGGGATGGAGTTCCTGGCTCCTGGCTTCAACCTGGCCCAGCCCTGGCTATTGTAGGCGTTTAGAAAGTGAACACAGTGCTGTGGCACAGCGGGTTAACACCCCGGCCTGCAGTGCTGGCATCCCATATGGGCGCCGGTTCTAGTCCTGGCTGCTCCTCTTCTGATCCAGCTCTCTGCCGTGGCCTGGGAAAGCAGTAGAAGATGGCCCAAGTCCTTGGGCCCCTGCACCCACGTGGGAGACCTGGAAGAAGCTCCTGGCTCCTGGCTTCAGATCAGCCAATTGGGGAGTGAACCAACGGATAGAAGACCTCTCTCTTTCTGCCTCTACCTCTGCCTCTCTATAACTCTGCCTTTCAAATAAACAAAACTTTTAAAAAAGAGAGAGAGAGAGAAGAGAATAAACCGTCCTTATTGGCAGACCAGGGCTATCAACTTAGAAGTCCTAAGCCCCGGTATGCCAGAGCGTGTGTGTATTAGAACACACAGTAAACCACGGTGGAGACCGACGGCCTCACAAGGAGAGAGGCCAGCATGGCGACACAGGCAGGACACAGGAGGGAGGCCAGCACGGCGACACAGGCAGGACACAGGAGGGAGGCCAGCACGGCGACACAGGCAGGACACAGGAGGGCCCTGCGAGCCACGGGGAGGCCAGCACAGCGACACAGGCAGGACACAGTGAGCCGCGGGGAGGCCAGCACGGCGACACAGGCAGGACACAGTGAGCCACAGAGAGGCCAGCACGGCGACACAGGCAGGACACAGGAGGGAGGCCAGCACGGCGACATAGGCAGGACACAGGAGGGAGGCCAGCACGGCGACACAGGCAGGACACAGGAGGGGCCCACGAGCCGCGGGGAGGCCAGCACGGCGACAGGCAGGACACAGGAGGGGCCACGAGCCACAGAGAGGCCAGCACGGCGACACAGGCAGGACATAGGAGGGCCCTGCAAGCCGCAGGGTGGCCAGCACGGCGACACAGGCAGGACACAGGAGGGGCCCGCGAGCCGCGGGGAGGCCAGCACGGTGACACAGGCAGGACACAGTGAGCCATGGGGAGGCCAGCACGGCGACACAGGCAGGACACAGGAGGGGCCCGCGAGCCGCGGGGAGGCCAGCACGGCGACACAGGCAGGACACAGTGAGCCATGGGGAGGCCAGCACGGCGACACAGGCAGGACACAGGAGGGCCGCGAGCCACAGAGAGGCCAGCACGGCGACACAGGCAGCACACAGGAGGGCCCTGCGAGCCGCGGGGAGGCTCCTGAAGCCAGCCAGCCCCACACCGGGGCCTCAGACCTGCAGCCCACGGGACTGGGAGAGGACAAGTCACTGCTGCTGAAGCCACTCTGGCAGAGGCACTGTCACCACAGCCCTCGCCAACCGGCACAGCTACACAGCACAGCCACCGTCCCCAGAACCGTCATCTGTCCCAAGGACAGACCAACAGACAGGGCAGTGGACGAGGGGCCGGGGAGCCGCCTGCAGGGACAGGAACTTGCGCAGTGCTGAAAAGGGGACCCGACACGGACGGGAGAAAGCAATGCCCAGGGGACAGCGCTGGGAAAACCAGATGGACGCAGGGGGAGAAACTGCAGAGACCCCCACCCACACCATTCACAAAGACTGCGCATCAAGGCAGCGAATGTAAAAGCAGCACAGAACAGAAGGAAACGCAAAACTGTGACACCAGAGCAAGGAAAAAACCTCTTTCCATCTCAAAAACGTGACGTGTAAGGCAAAAAATTAAGGGTTTTAATTTCATCAAAATTCTGTTCAATTGCTGACACCCTAGGAGATCGACAGACAAATGAGAGATGTTTGCAACACGGAAAACCGACAAGGACAAAATACTCTGAGTATGCAAGAAACTGCAGCAGCTCAGGAAGAAAAAAGAAACTCAACAGGGAAACAGGTAGCACAGAAATAGCCAAGAACAGAGGAAGAAGTCAAGGTCACAAAGAGCAGTCTGCACTCATTGTTTTTTTCATTTATTTATTTATTTGAAAGGTAGAGTTACAAAGAGAGAAAGAGGGAGAGAGAGAGATCTTCCGTCTGCTGGTTCACTCCCCAAATGGCTAAAGCGGCTGGGGCTTGGCCAGGCTGAAGCCAGGAGCCAGGAGCTTCCTCTGGGTCTCCCAGGTGAGTATTGGGGCCCAAGCCCTTGGGCCGCCCTCCACTGCTTTCCCAGGTGCATCAGCAGGGAGCAGGATTGGAAGTAGAGCAGCCGGGACTTGAACCGGTGCCCATACGGGATGCCAGCATTGCAGGAGGCAGCTTAACTCTACACCACAATGCCAGCCCCAAGCTCATTATTAATGAAAGAAACATAACTAAACCAGCATTGAGATACCAGGCGCTACCCATCAAATTGGCAACAGTTTTTTAAAATCAATGAGTTACTGAATTTGAAAGGCAGAGTTACAGTGAGAAGGAAAGACAGGAAGAGACAGAAACAGAGCGCTTCCATCTGCTGGACCACTCCCCAGATGGCTGCAAAGGCCGGGGCTGGGCCAGGCCATCCGGGTCTCCCACGTTGGTGTCGGGGCCCACGTTCTTGCGCCGTCTGCTGCGGCTTTCCTGGTGTTTTGGCTGGGAGCGGGACTGGAAGTGGGGCAGCCAGGACTCTGAGACGGGCTGTGGGTGTGGGTGTCACACTCGCAGACTACCTAGCTGTGCCACAATGCCAGCCCCGGCGACAGAGTTAAAGGCAGCAAGTCTAAGTATTGGCTGTGGCGTGGGATACCACTGCCCCCGAGAAAGCGGGAGGCCCGAGTCCGGCTCCCAGCTCCTCACGCTGAGCAGCCACGGCATCTGACCTCAGCAACACGGCTGTCCCCGCGGAGCCCGGCCGCTCCCTGGGGACGGAGCCCTGGGGGCCGAGGGCAGGCAGGGGCCGGGAAGTAGCACTGAACGCAGACTCGGAGACAGACGCGGAAAGCAGCTGTCACCAGGGCAGGGAGCTGGACTCGGCTTCCACCAGAGTCACCCCGCTCCCCTGGCGCCTGCAGCCTTCGGGGGAAGACCTCGGGGAGCAGCACAGCCAGCGCTCAGAGCCCGCAGGCTGCCACTCCTCACTGCCCGCACGGCCCCTCCAGCAGGGACGGGCGGTCTGCTGGGACAGGAGGCCTCGCCCAGAAGGGAAGCCTGCGCTTGCTTCTACAGCATTGGAGGCAGCAACGCCGGCAGCGCCAGGAACCCACGGCCGAACTCAGCACGAACGGGAAGGGTCGCGCTGGGAACCAAGAGGCAACGCGGGGAACAAAGGAGCAACCTGAAGCAAGCTCCAGTCCGCATCTCCAGGTAGGTGTGAAGAGATCTGAGACCTTCAGGGTTCTCGGCAGGGACAGGTGTCTGGCAGAAGTGCCCACGTCACCTCTCGGGATGCCTGCATCCCAGGTGGGCATGCCTGTTTGAGTCCCGGCCGCTCCACCTCCGGTCCAGCTCCCTACAGAGCACATCCCAGGAGGCAACAGGAGGCGTGGCTCCAGTGCCTGGGCCCCTGCTGCCCATGTGGGAGACCCACGTGGGAGTTCCCAGCTCCGCCCTGGTGTTGCAGGCAGGTGGGGATGAACCAGCAGATGGAAGCTATTTCTCTGTCTCTCTGCCTTTCAAATAAAATGAAAGTAAATTTTAATATAAAAAATTCATACAAAATGTATAATTATAAAAAAAGCATGGATTTAAAGAATTTTTTGCACCAAAATACACTTATTTTTAAATT